AAAGAGTATTCTTAGGAAGTTTCAGCTGAATCCAAGTTTGAGCGATTTTCGTCGTAGTAGCACTTTAAGCTTTCTTACTTTTATTTTGACAGGAAACAAGGCGTAATAACAAAGAAAAAATTCCATACCATCTATTGATACGTTACTAGAACTGTACAACATTTGTTAGAGGTTTTATAGAATATTATATACAAGGTTATATAGATTATTATATAGAACGAAAATATTTGATAGTTATTGTTTTGGCGTATTTATTTAGATGTAATGGCTAGGTATGAAATAAAAGAGCATTTTAAAACCAATATTATATGGTGTGAGAAACTAGCCGTGAATGCGAAGGGCTATATGACCTATTTATGGTTTTATCAACATCTCCATGTGAAACCGGAACAACCTAACTTTAGATTAGATTTTGCAGTTTGGGGAGTATAAAGTTATATTTATATTAGTAATAATTGATCCTGAATAATATAAACTATTTGGGTACTATTTGGATGTGAGAACATCTAGCCAAATCACTCAAATTTGTTCTTGACGAAGAAAATGTTTGTAGCGATACAGACCGCGTAGTTTCGGGAAAGCTTCTTCGAGAGAACGTTTGCTTACTGGCATACAGTAAATAACTAATGGCTGCTCTGTATTTAGGGAGCCTCCAAGCACAAAGAAATGGATTAAAAGCACAGTTAGCTTGAAAAAGGACAAAACAGAGTTTAAACACCCAAACGAGAATATCTAAATGTTGTTTACAGGCTGAACAGAGGGGTAGAATTTGCATCATTAGAAACCAAGGTAGCGTACAAATGAGAAAGACAGCCAGCATGAGCCCCATAGTCTTGGTAACCTTTCTCTCTCTCTGGATGGACCTGGCAGCTATTACTTGCACAACGTTGAGGCTTTGAAGACACAACGTTTGCCTATGTAGAGAACGCATAATACAGCAGAAAAGAGCAACGGAAACAATAACAGCTAAATCGACATGAAGACAATACAGAATGTTTCTAATGTAGTTCTTGCCCATGAATCTCAATCCCAACACCAGAACACTGCAGTACAGCCATATGAAGACCACAGTGGAATAAGAACGCCTTTTGCAAGGTTTTCTTTGTGAGCAGTACTCCAAGGGGTTAAGAATGGCTAAATAGCGGTCTCGTGTGATTCCAAGCAAGTGAAGTACTGAAACAAGTAATAAAAATGCCTCTGCTATTTCTAGGTACTTGTGATCAAATAGTTGCTTTTGCCGAAAATAGGTCGTCAGATACCAATAAGCACCAACTGGTTCCAAAACAAATCCAACGATGAAGTCAACTAGAGCAAGGCTTGTAACGAGAATGTTTGTTGGCGATTTGCGAATCTTCTTGTGAGGATCCTTGATAAAAAGCAATATGACAAGTCCGTTGCCCACACTTGTGATCAGAGCCAGAGAAATACTCGCAATCCCGCGAACGTAAAACACATCAGATACTTTTTTGTGTGATTTATTGAATGTACTATTTGCATTTATCAGCCAGTTGTTCGTTTCGTTAAACATTTTCCCCAAGCTTTTAGAACTATCTCTTTTCAATTTTTCATCAAAACTGGCGTCCCAATACCTGAAGAGGTGTTTTTACAGTTTTTCACGACATGTCTCCCATCACGTTTTCTCAGCGTAATTGGCATTTACTTCCTGACAAAGTGTCTCAAATTTGATAAGTCCTTGGCGGTTCTAGTGAAATATATCTCCAGGGTAGAAATCAAACATTTTTTAAATAGTTCATCATGCACTTGCATTACCGGTGATTTCTGAGCATGTATGCTTCAAGATATTTTGATAAAATCCCAAAAAACAACTTACCTTATTATTAAATTTTCCTTGGTCTATACAATATGTGCATATGTAATACTGAAAAACAAACTGAGAAGTTTGAAAAGAACCAATCAAACTGCAGCACGAAAGCCCATTTAGACGTACATAACCTTATCGAAATTTGTTTTTGGAGCCATTCAATAACCGTACAATAATTTCTTAATATTATTTTGAGATCGTTTTTGAAACAGTTCAATAAACTGGAGGCATGTGTTTCATTTATCGGATATGAAACCACTGAAATAAAAGTACTGCTGCTCTTTAAAAAAATGAAAAATATATTAGATTTGATGTCCTCGCTATAACACCGCAAAACTTATCTGCATGGCTATCTAGCATATGTGCGTAAAAACGACAACAAACATGAGAATATCTCTCTGAACATTTTTTTTTAATGTTTGCAAAAAAAAAAAAACACTTAGGCTTGAATGGTGTAGTTTAATGTAAACATTGGCAAAGGAGGGAAAATGTCGCTATCTTTGTAAATGAAGTTTTATCAGATTTTGTAAAGTATTACTTTGAAAGCATCGCCCAAATTATATGTCAATACATAAGGAAGCGGCAAAAGCCGATTAAGAGAATATCACTAATTAATGGTTCCACTGTGGTCAGTCATACACCTGAGAAAAATAATTCATTTCTTTTCACAAGCGTCACTTACAAACGAGTGACGATCGGTGCGTGATAGCTGAGGACGATGGACAAATATGGGAAATAACTAAAATATATATCAATATTTTGGAGTAAATAATAATTATAGTAATAGTAATGGTTTATTTAACAGAAAGAGTTCAATTCTCTGGAATTACAACCAAGTATTTTTTTTTAACCCATAAATTTATGATCAATTAAATATTCGAAGTTGAAAACGATCTACAGCACATTGGTATAGTTGATTCCACCAGTAAAAAAGCATGTTTTTCCTCTTTCGTGGTTTAGATTGAAAGTAATATCTAGTAACGGAAAGAATCAATCTCGTTCAAATATGCCGGCCCACCTCATGAATGATTATTGCTAGCTACCTACGTTTGTAAAGTATCTAACTGAGACCCGTTATTTTTAGCGAATCCTATACTCGAGCGTCTTATATCCTTTGTCATCCTGTCGGCATCTTCTTACACTATCTAGAATATACTTTAATAGTGTAAAACATTAATTGGGCTGAGAGGTGTGGCTGTTGTATGAGCTTACGTTAGCCCACACCTTTTGGTAGCAGTACCAAGTGTTCAGTGACGCACAATAAAGGACTTTATCAAGATGAACCATTTCGAAAGAGGTCTTTAACTGCTCCCCCGACAAGCCTTGCTTACGTCAAGTTGAAACCAATTGAGGATTTTTAAAAATCATAAATAAATATTGAACAGTCTGTACAAGAACATGGATGGATATTCATACTTCTTTCCTCAAGCTCAGTATTCACCAAGACTACGCTAAAAGGTGAGGAAAAATGATACTTCTGAATTGAGCAGGATACTAATTTTTATCTCATCATAAAAAATGACCCCACATACTTATCGATCGAACTTTTGTAACTTTTGATTTCTGGGTAACTATTAAATTCTTTTGATATGTACTTAGTGAGGTAATGAACATACAGACGGAGCATTTGATATCTTCTAATGCACTTAACACTCCTTGGTGGGCTGCCTTATCCCTAACAGGTTTTTTCAGACCAATTGATACAACAGCTGATAGATTGAATTAGAATTTAGAAGTTCATTTTGATGGAGGGAAGAAAAACCGAAGCCCCCTGAAGGAATAACCCTTGAAGCACAGGAAAGAACCAACAAGGCCAAGCATGGACCAAAAAAATGGACCAATCAGTCAATACATGTGGTCACACAAACAAATTTTTACTCTTTTCTTTATATTTATATTTTTTTCATTATTTGTATTATTACTATTGATGTTATAATATTATGCTGTTCCCTGCACTCAAACTAATAATGCCATTAACTTGATAGCTGAGACATCTTGATGTYTTCTTTCTAAGGAGTACCTCCCCTGGGGGGCCAGTATCTGCCCAAGATGTCTTGCATTTTCTGCCAGGAAAGTGTGAACATGTTCCTTATATCAGGACTGTAGCAAGGTCAAAAATATTGGGGGGGCTCTCAAACCATGTCCATAGATATTGAAAGACAGCCAAACATTCATTTGCACAACAAATAAAACGAAATTTCACCAATTTGATGAAATTGACAGTAATTAGGTGGCTGTAAGTTGCACTCAAATGGCTTTATTTAAATCACTATTCGTATTTGTAATGTAATGTATCATTTTTCACTAAACTTTGTTGCCCCGTGGACCCCTTTCTATACTCACTTGTGATATAGCACAACAATTTCATAAGAGAATGACTGTAAACTTTTTCATAGGTATCTTATCTTTCAGGGAATTTGCCTAAAAGTCATTGTTCATTTATTAAAGGCATAAGGACGAAGAATTTCACAATAATAATTTAAAACTGTTAAGTTTTTTACAGTGTTGACCAACTCCAGCAGCAACTGATCTGACATTTTGTTACACTGACTAGCATCTAAATATCTTAGACGTGGCATCAACTTTGGAAGATTAAGGAGGCAGTTTCCCATGATTTCTCTCATACCACACATGATCATGCTTTGCATTTCGTTGCAATTTAAAACTACATTTATAAATCCTTGATCTGTAATGTCCCAGCACCAGGAAAGATCAAGTTCAAGAAGATTAGGAAAACTAGAAAGTAAAAGAAAATGTTGTATTGAGTCTTTGAATCTCGTATAATCAAGTTTAAACATAAAGTTTGATATTGATATGTGAGGCAAAAAAGTTTTAGGTAATAAATGCATGCATAGAAAGTACCTTTCAGCTAGAGACTTGACAGCTTCATCATTCATGTTTGAACACTCGGGTAGATAGAGGTATAAAATACCAGTTGCATTGTCCATCAAATCTACATGAAGTCCAATAAATAGTTCCTGTAGTACCTTGGCAGTGAAATTAATGCCTTTTTTAAGCCTTAGTGTTTGAAGCTTTTTCATTTGTTTGATCCATGTAAGGGTAACATCAGAGAGATTATCACAAAATGACAAGCTAAACACCCTGTACATGAAATAAATATCATTATTTGGCATCCATCGTAATAAAATAATGGTCTATACACAACTCTAACACTATACAGATAGATAAAATTCAAGATCAGCCCTCCAAATACCCTGTCCACCAACATACTGTACATAACTGTCAGCCATTTGTCAGTCGTTTAATGGCCATTTGTCGACCGTTTCACCGTGTTAATCTCTGATTTAATTATTGTTCATTGAGTGAACATTTCAACCATTTACTGTACCAATCACCTTCAACAGTAAAATAAATGGTTAATGGTCAAAGCGTCAGGGGCAAACAAAATAATATTATGGATAAAATTTTGTTTTTATTCCCTTTCATTTTCTGGGGGGG